GAGACTAACCGGTGTTGGTTTGGTTTCAGTGGACGCCGAAAGATGAACTGGCGACGCTGAAAATCAACGGGAACTGCGACGCCGTCATGAAGCTGCTGATGGAGCAGCTGGACATCCAGATCCCTGCTTACTGCCGGTAAGAGTGGACACACAGTTCTGTTTCTATTAAAGGAGACATGTTGTACCCTATTTCAACAAGTTAAGCTAGTTCCCTGGTGTCCTAATGTAATGTCTGTGACAAGCTTTGGTCAAAATCCCATAAGGATGAAGCCCAATAGCAGTTCAGTCCCCCTGCCTAACCCTAACCCTAACCCTAACCCTAACCCTAACCCAAAACAGCCCCGTTCAGAGCGCTCGCTTTGGAGTGCCTGTCTCTTTAAATGCAAATGAGACACAGGCAATCCGCCCACTTCTTCAGGGAGGTGTGCCCACGTCGGCACGCTAACGCTATCACGCTAACGCTACCATGCTAACGCTAGCATGCTAACGATACCATGCTAACGATACCATGCTAACGCTCACGCTACCACGACATCTCCACAGACAGGCGGAGTAAGCTGAGGGGGGGGTAACATGCAGGTGAAAGGCTGGAATATTATAATGAGCTAGAGCTAATGACGTCAGAAACTACCCGCTACTTCTGTAGGAGGACAAACATGACACAAACATTCTTAACATTTTCCAATGCTGTAGAAATGTGTAGAATAAATATTAAATTAAAATTTTCTGTCAACAAAGCTTTGCGTCATAGCTGGGAGACGTTGGGCCGTGGATCCCAAAGGGAAAAAGAGAAAAATAACAGAGGAGAAAAGAGGATTCTACGTTTCTTGGACCGAATAATTTGCATTCAGTGAGAAGGATTGCCTAAATTAAATGTTTTCTCTATAGCGAGAAGTTGTCGAATAACAAACAGAGTAATGTGGAAAGATATTTCCAGCCGAGTATCTGGTTTGGAGTGAGAGAAAAAGTGAGATTGCTTTACTTCTGGAGAAATTAGAGGAGCGCAAAAATAGATTTAAGAAGTGGATTGCATCTCCAAACTACTACTGCAAGTTTTCTTGCAACCTGGGAGAAAATAAAGTGTAAAAAACTTTTCACAGATGACTACTTCATCATATCAGAACTAGGCTTGTCCCAAGTAATTTTCATGGTACCCTAATATAGCTAATATAGAGACATACAGCATGGGTTGCCTTCATTATAAGGCTCCAGACATTTTTATAAATCAGGTTTATGTTGGGTCTAATTTGTAAAAAAAACCAAAAGACTAAAATCGCATTCATTTCCTCTATGTAAAGCTTTTTTTCCTCTCTTTCCCTACATCTACATCAGGGCGGAGGACCCCATCTTCGTGCTGGCGGCGCCCCTCCGGCCGGAGGAGGAAAACAGCCACAGCCGGGACCCCATCGCCCCCCCGGGGGGGCCCAATGAGCCCCCGGGGGGGGGGGGCCGCCCCCGTACAGGGGGGCTGGTTCGGGAGGGGGTACCGCAAAGGGAGGAAGAGCAGGAGGAAGAGGAGGGTCTGAGGGAGGAAGAGGAGGGTCTGATGGAGGAAGAGGAGGGTCTGATGGAGGAAGAGGAGGGTCTGATGGAGGAAGAGGAGGGTCTGATGGAGAAAGGACCTCTGAAGGAGGAAGAGGAGGGTCTGATGGAGAAAGGACCTCTGGTGGAGGAAGAGGAGGGTCTGATGGAGGAAGAGGAGGATCTGATGGAGGAGAGGAGGATCTGATGGAGGAAGAACCTCTGGTGGACTCCTCAGTCTGGTGCTGCCATGATTTACCCCTGAGTCTGATTCAGATTCCACTGTGTGCATTGGTGTTGTGTGTATGTA